GAGACGGCGAGCATGAGTCTGTCTGCTGCTCCGTGTGGTTGTGCTTCCGTGCCTCCCCACCTGGTGAACTCATGCATTCTTTAAGACCCTGCTCAGTTGTCCATCTCCTGTGACCCTGGCTCCAATGGTTTGGTCTTGGCAGGGCTACCCCCCTTGGTTCATAAGCTGTGTCAGCCACATCCCTCTCATGGCCCCCTGCTCAGTGCACGTGCTCTGTCTCAGGTGACTGCTGCAGGAAGGCACTGTGTCCATACTGGTTAGGAATATGAACCTAGAAGTCAAGCAGTCCCCTCTGTCTGAGTCTTGGCTCCACAACTTTGTAGTTGCGTAGAGAAAATGGCTTCGCATCTGTTTGTGTCAGCTTTCTCATCTCTACTGTGGATCCATTGTTTGCTTTCTTACTGTATCAGCTTGCACTGGAGGTTGAAAGAAGCAAAGCCTAGAGAACGCTGTATTGCCCCTCAGCATAGGGGCCTCTGTTAATTTGATTCTCTGGTTGCGGCAGCAGACCCCAGTTGTGGCAAACACACTTGTACCCAAAAGGGAAGAAAAATGTCCCAAGGAGGCCATGAAATAGTCAGGGATCAGAGCTCCAGAGATTCTTCTCTTCCTTCTTCTTTAGGGGCAGGGGTGCTTGTTTTTTTTTTTTTTTTTTTTTTTTTTAGATAGTGTCTCATTATCTACTGCTGTATTCCTGGTTGTCCTGAATTACCCAGGCCTTCACTTTTCAGCCCTCCGGCCTCAGCCTCCCAAGTGCTGGGATTACAGGTGTGTAGCACCGTGCACTGGCTGAGTCAGGACTTCAAGAGGGAACCAAAGAGCAGAAAGCAGTGGACAACTTCATCCCGGTGTCGCTGGCAGAGCAAATATGTGCTGGCCACCTCTGCTCGTTGGCCACTGTAGCCATCCTAGGCCTATCTGGTCCAGGTTAGGCTTCACGCCCACGGTGGGAGGCATGGCTATGGCTGAAGGAAGGCTGTGCTCTGCTAGCCCCTGGGGCGGCCCTGTCAGGCATCACCTGCTCAGACGCAGCCAGTGGCTTCGTGGCTTTTGGTATGTGACCTCTGCTGCAAGAGTGCATCTTTACTGATTAAATCACAGTCACAGAACTTTTAAAAGAAAACAGGAAAATTTGAATGGGAGCTGCATTTTGGTTAATATGAAGGAAAGATTGAACTTTGTGTAAAAATCCATTGAGCTTATGGTTTTAGTGTGACCCTTACCTGTTAGAGATACATATGAAAATGATTAGAAGTGAAACTATCCCAGCACTGCAGCAATTGCTACATCATGCTGTAACGTTTGTACATCTGTGCCCCTGATGGCTATCACTCTTTAGGAGAGCAGGTCCCCCTTCTGTGTCTTCGTATGAGAATAGCATGATGTAATCGAACACATTCACAGAAAAGCAGATCAGAATTTCAATTGCTTTCTCCACAGACAGCGCTGAACATTTGTGTTAGAGACTTAATTTCTCTAATCTTCTGTTCTTAAACTGAAGAAGAGGATTAAACAAAGTAGAGAATTCTTACACAGTGTTTTGCTCATAGATAGCTCTTGATGTATGGTTGCCATTATCACTTCCAGTATTGTCATTATTATTGTTGGTTCCCCGGCACCTTTCTTAATATCTGGCACCTACTAGGTATTCAGTAAGTTTTTGATAAATGAACCACACACACACACATATATATATATATACTTAATTTCCAATTGATTGTTGACATTAGCTGTACCTTGTTTACTGGTGTATTCCCAAGAATTCTGAAGTAATTCTTTTCAGATAGCAGATATTCATTAAACACTGAAGGGCCGAAGGAAAAAAGGAGGAAGCACAGAATCTTGGAGTGGAAAACAGACTTGGAATTCTACCTCTCTGACTGGGGATCCCGAATGGGTGGGAAAGTCGCTCCTCTGGGGAAGCTTTTAGAACTTGGCACAGGAAGACTAAAACTAGACCCATGTCTATCACCATGTACTATAGGGGCTGAGGAGATAGCTCAGCAGCACAAGTGCCTGCCTGGCAAGAACAAGGTCCTGAGTTTGATTCCCGGTTAAAAAAAAAAAGTTTATATCACCATGCACTAAACTAATGTCAAAACAGATCAAAGATTTAAATATTAAAACAGAAATACTCAATCTTCTGGAAGAGAAAGTAGGTAGAAATCTTAAAGATATACATGTAGGCAGAGAGTTTATGAACAAAAACCAAACTGCACAAGAAATACTGTAAAGAATCAACAACTGGGATCTCATTTTATTAAAAAGCTTTTGCACATCAAAAGAAATCACCAAGAGAGTGAAAATACAACTCACAGATTGGGAAAAAAAATTTAGTCAGTTTTCTCTCAGACAAAGGACTTCTATCTAGAACATATAAGGAACTAAAAATAAATCAGACACCCCTCCCAAGTTCAAATCCCAATCAAGAAATGGGCATCTGAGATGAATATACACTTCTCAGATGAAGAAATACAAATGGCAAACAAATATATGAAAAAATATTCCACATCACTGGACATTTGAGAGATGTAAATTAAAACAGCGCTGATATTCCATCTCACCCCAGAAAGAATGGCTGTTATCAAGACATCAACTAATAACAAATGCTGGAGGGGTTGTGAGGAACAAAGAACCCTTCTCCACTGTTGGTAGGCATGCAGACTGAGCAACCATTATGGAAATCTGTGGAGGTTCCTCAAAGCCCTAGGATTAGAGGTCCCATTTGATCCATCTATTCCCCTTCGGGTATCTTCTCAGAAGAATTAAAATCATCACACCACAGTGATATATGTGCACCCTTGTCCATAGGAGCACAGTTTGTAATAGCTAAGTCTTTCAAACAATGCAAATGCCCATCAACTGAGGAATGTATAAAAAAGATGTAGTATTTTTTATACAATGGACTATTACTCAGTCATAAAGAAGAATAACTTGAGACTTTTATAAGTAAATGGGTGCAATTAGAGACCATACTCATAAGTAAAATAAATCAGACTCACATGTGTAAACAGCATATTGCCTCCCTGGTGTGAGAAACTGAAAGAGTAAATAAGGTCTAAAATATACAATAGATATTGTGAAAAAGGAGCAAACTGTTCAAATGGTTAAAAGAACTAGGATGGGAGAAAGGAAAGAAGGGAAAAGAGAGAAAATGCAAGTTAGCTATACTATTCATGTTTCTTAGTTCAAAGAAAAGGCAGGCTTGCACTTGCATCAGAGAATTTCTTATGCCTATGCCATGTACTGAGTACCTACTTTAAAAATAATAATATGCAATGTATTAACCACTGCTATTCTCCTGTCATATTGTTTCATCTAATCTTTCCAGAACCATATGAAACACGGTAATTCTAACACTCATTTTAGGAGACACAGAGAAGCCAGGCCTGGCAGTGCATGCCTGTAATTCCTGTGCTCTGGGAGCTGATGCAGGAGGATCACAAGTGCAAGTCCAGCCTAGGCAATTTAGCAGTGTAGTGAGACTCTGTCTTAAAATTTGAAAAAAAAAAAAAAAATTAAAAAGAGCTGAGGATAAAACTCAGTGAGGAGCCCCTGGGTTCAATCCCTCTGCTGAAAGAAAGAGGGAAGAGGGAAGAGGGAAGAGAGAGAGAGAGAGAGAGAGAGAGAGAGAGAGAGAGAGAGAGAGAGAGAGAGAGCAAGCGAGCAGAAAGAAGCCAAGTAACTTTCCTCACTGACACATCTAATAAGTGGCAGGTGATGGATTTGTGTTATGCATCTTTCTGATTCAAAAGCCTATTACCACCAACTCATTTCCTTTCTGCTTTTATACCTCAAAATCTGACAGGCTTCAGTCATCATTTTGGGTTATTGTTCAGTGAGATTAAATCCTTGTCTATAAAAATATATAGGATTTGATCTCCTTTTGGAATTTCTCTTGATGCATCATTATGGGATGAAATTTTTCAAGTGCTTTTACCATCTTCATGAGTGATAAAATTTTCACAGCTTTAAATCGTTTATGTATTTATGGCACTAGACTTGGAACCCAGGGCCTTGGGCATACTGGGCAAGAGCTGAGCCACTGAGCTCCAGCCGCAGGTCCTTTCACCGTCTCGCAGGCTGTAGTTGGGCATCAGATGTTTCATTACTATTGAACAACACAAACCCACACAGAATGCACGCCAAGTCCTTATGATTGTGCAGGGCCAAGGATATGTTTCTCCGACATTCTAGCCCTGGCTGGTCCTGATGGTCACCACTGTGAGCCGGGGTTCTCCCGCGCGAAGCTGGGCATTGTGTGCTGTTCATGTATTATTCATCGAGTGAGGATGGGGCCGAGGAACAGCTGGGGGCCTCAACCTGCTGCTCACCCGCCACCCCAGTGATGGGAACTAACCTTGTTACAGCCTCGTCTCAGCCCCTCCTCTGGCCATTGTGGCGCTCTGAAAGGCGAAAGGGGCCGGCATCCTGTGGCCCCACAGGCCGAATGAGCAAACTTCTAGGAACAGACTGGGGAAGGAGGCCCAGAATAGCCTGATTTGCATGAGAAAAGAGAGAGATTGACGGCTGGGAGAGCTTGGCATCCAGCCAAGAGGAACCCGTGGTGCTCGGGGACACAGTGGAGGGAGGTGTCTCTGAAATTCTCCCGGGAGTGGATGTGGCCCCAGGCCCGCTGCAGGTCTGAAAACCTCTGCGCTCCTCCCAGGCCTGTAGGTTCAATTGTGGTGCCCGAGCTCAGCCGCTTTCCTGTCTGCTCTCACCTCGCCCGCGCTGTTTTGAAGACGTCTGAGTGAGCAGCACAGTTAAGTGTGCGTTGCAGCCAGACGCATTTGATTTTCCCTTGAACTTGCCTCCGGACGCCCTGATGCATCCTGTAGGAGCGCGTATCTGCAGTACGCATGCGCACACACACTTCTCTGAGGTTTCTAGGAAAAATAAAGCCCTATTCCCAACCTTCTCTCTTGTTTGCGGGGACCGCCAAGTGAAGAAATGAATTGTTGCCTACAGAAGGAAATAAAGCCCGTACTGTTTTTCAGGTTCTACATTGAAAGCATATCGTTTCTAAAGGAGAAAACCACCGTGGAGCTGTTTTTCCTGAATGCAAAGACCTGCGTACACAAGGTAAGAGGCCCTTGGTCCTGGTCATGGTGCGCCTGCCTGCCTAAGCATAGGAAGTGCGGTAGCGGAGGAGCTCGCCAGTGTTCTCACCTCCAAACCAGAAAGAGTAGTCTTTCCCCTGATGTTTCCTACCTCAGCAATGCCTGCTGCCCAAATAAGGTAATTCTTGTCCAGTTCTACCAGCAGGGAGTAAGGCTGGTACATCAGGCACTACCCTATCACCACTTCCTACAGGACTGATGTTGCACACGCAACTACCCAGGGAGACGCAGGATGGAGTAGGTCAGGTTGAGATCTGAACCTCTTAAGCCAGAAACCTAAAAAAAAAAAAAAAAAAAAAAAAAAAACCTGGGCATGCCTTACATTTATTTTAAAGCAAAACCTATCTTCTTTAGTGTCTTACTTCTTTTAGTAACTTTTCTGGTTGTTGAGACAAAGTATTTGATGCTCATAGTTGTGGGAGAAAAGGTTTATTTCACTCAGTTTGTAGAGGTTTCAGTCCATAGTCAGCTGGCTCCAAGGCAGGGTGGTGTGGAAGAGCGGCTTTGCAGAGGAGGAGTAGTTCATGGCAGGCAGAAGGTAGCAAAGCAAGCAAGGGACCTTAGCCACTTGTTTCTGCCCTTTATATTCTATCTAGGTTACTGGAATTAGGACAGTGCCATGATAATCCATGGGCTTACTTAATAATGCCAGCATCACCAAGGCTGGATCCAGCCACCTCTACAAAGCCCCATCTATGACTGCGTGTGGCCTGGGGGCACATCCAGATACAAGCATGGTAATTAGGCTCACGTGGCTCCTTTCAGCCCTGCACACCTGTAGGGGCCGAGGAAGTGGCTGCTCAGAGCCACCCACCTTCCATAGGTCTCTCAGGTCCCTGTTGGGAGGGACCAGGGTTGTTTTGTGTTTCCAGGTTTTACTTCTGTCCAACATAGCCAGGAGAGATCACTTTTGTGCAGTTCAGTTGAAATGCCATGCCAGGCTATTACCACCACAGCAAGTAATAGAAGTTGGTCCGTGTTGTTTGTATGTCTGTGGAGCTAGGAATTACATCTAGGGCCTTTGCACAGAGTTGCATCCCCAGAACACGCCCACCCCCAGCCACCTCATTTTTCTTTCTTCTTTTTGCCTGAGTCAAGATCTTGCTAGGTTGCCGAGGCAGGACTCAAACTTATAATCCTCCTGCTTCTGTCCCCCAAGTGCTGGACATACAGGTAGATACCATCATGAACCTTCATAAAAACTTTTAGAGCCGGGGATGTAGCTCAGCAGCGCAGTGCCTGCCTAGCAAGCACAAGGCCCAGAGTTTGATTCTCAGTACCAAAAAAGAAAATAGTAAAAATAAGACCAAAAATAAAAAAATAAAAAGATCCTTTTGCAAGAAAACCCAAAAAACAAAACTTTGGGCCGGGGAGATGGCTCAGTAGAACAAGAGCCTGCCTGGCAAGCACAGGGTCCTGAGTTCAATCTTCGGTACTAGAAAAAAAAAAAGAAAGAAAGAAAAATAAAAAGCTTTTAAACTGTTTTATCACTTATAGGGTAATCTGACTGTAAATAACTTCACTTAAGCCATGGGCCAAAAAGTGCCCTTTAGAACAAAGCTCCTCCCTTCTAGCTGAGATCGCTATGCCCAGACTCTGGGAATTTCCTGTCCAGACTCCAGGCCTGCATGTAGGCTTAGTGGAAATCTCCTCTGTCCATAGACATCTTCCTAGGTCTAGCTGGGGATTAGAGGACCTACCTTCGTACTCTTCAATGTCAAAGACAACCCCTGTGGGCACACAGCTTTATATTATACAAGACACCACAAGGGTAGAGTTGATTATGTTGATTTTTAATAGTTCTGTTGCAATATACAATAATTAACTATAAAGTGTACACTTTTATGTTTTGACTTCTATGATAGCTGTGAAACAAAGACCATAATCAAGATAGTAAATATGCACAGTATGCAAAGATCTGCTTTTTCTTGCAACATATTAGGTTTCATTAGAGTTTCCTATGAGTGGAATCATGGAAGGTAATCTTTTTGTCATGTTTAAAAAGTATAATTATTTTGAGATTGATCCACGTTGTGTGTTTCAATAGTTCATCCTTTTTATTGCTGAGTAGTATTCCATACCCTGAATAGTATATATTTTATGTACATCCACTGAATGGATATGCATAACATTGTTTATTCTTTTACCTGTTAATGGGCATTTGGGGGATTGTTGTTAATAAAGCTACTATAAACATTTATGTGCAAGTGTTTGTAAGGGTGTATTTCATTTTTGTTTTTCTCTTCGGTAAATACCTAGGAGGGAAATGGCTAGATCACATGGTATACATATGTTTAGTTCTTTAAGGTTCTGACAAACCATTTTCCAAAGCAGTTATACTATTTTAAGATCCACCAGTAGTGTATAAGAGTTCTAGTTCTTCCATATCTCTTGTCACTTAATCCAACTAGGCTTTTTCAGTTTAGCCGTTCTGCTAAGTATGGATGTGTAGTTTCTCACTGGCTTTACTTTGCATTTCCCTGCTGTGGTGCTAAGCATCATCCATGGAGATGGTATGGGATGAACTAAAATTCACTTACTGGTGTGGGTACACTCAGCTGTCCTACGCCATCAGTTGAAAACTTTGTGCTTCTCCGCTATGTTCCTTTGCACCTCTGTCACAAATCAATTGTCTGTAATATATTGGTTTGTTTCTGAACTTTATTTCCTGTACCACTGATCTATATGTTAGTCTTTCCACCAATAACTTTGTTTTGATTACTAAAGCTCTATGGTGGATCTTGAAACTAAAATAGCTTTCAGCTCTGTTCTTCAAAGATTTTTTGTTATTATTTCTTGCATTTCCATCTGAATTTTAGAGTTAGCCTGTCAAGTTCTAAAAACAAAATATAGAGGGCTGGCCAAATAGCTCAGTGGACTAAAGCATCTGCAATCAGGCACAGGGTCAAGGGGTTCTATCCCCAGGCCGAACTGAGATGGCAATTGAGACTGGGCGTGGTCGCGCGCGCCTGTAATCCAAACTCTTGGGAGCTGTAAACATGAGAATCACTACGAGTCCGATCTAGTAGTGAGACCCTGTAGACCCTTCCCTAAAATACAAAAAAAAATAAATAAATAAGAACAACATATGGTGGGATTTTGAATCCATAGATCTAGGTTGATGAGAAAAGTGACAGCTTAGCAATATTGTCATGAGACCACGAACAAGTACATACCGACATAGCATTTTGCAGTCTGGTTGAGTATTGATTAACATTCTACCGTCTGGCTAGGGATGGTGTATGGTACAGTATTGCCTCAGAACAACACATGGGTACATAGAGGACGAGATCTCTACCATGTAAACAGTTTCTGCCTCAACACAGAGGGAAGGGCCCTACCACCTTATCACTAAAAAGTCATCTTTCTTTTGAGACAGATTCTGTGTCATTCAAGCTGATCTTAAACTCACTACATAGCCCAGGCTAGTCTTGAACTTGCTATGTTCCTCCTGCCTCAGCGGCTAAGTGCTGAAATTACTAGCATGCACCACCACACCTGTCATAAAGTATCTTCTTTATCTTATTAACACACTCTTTATTCTGAAATCTTCATTAGATTAAGAAAGCCACTTTAACTTTCTTGTGCTGGTGCTAGCATATTTTTTTCTGTTGTTTAAGTTTTACTATATTTCTATCTGTATATTTGAAGTATGCTTTAGGCAGTGCATAGTTACATCTTGATATTTTAAAAATTCAAATTAATACCTCTATCATTGAACTTGGATTTTTACACTTAATGCTATTATTAGCATTACAATTAAGTTTAAGCCCAGCACTTTACTATTTTGTTTGCTGTTGGTGTCATCTGTTATTTGTTCTTTTTTCTTCCTTCTTTTGGATTTATTAAGCATTTTATGACTTCATTTTACCTCCTTTGTTGGCATATTAGCTTTAGCTCTTTGTTTTGCCATCTCTGTGGTTGCTTTAAAGTATACTAGGGTTTTTGTCTTTAGACATTCTATTTGAATAATTTTTGCATTGTACATGTGACCACTTCTGAACATGTGAAATGCAGTTACAATAATTGTCTTAATATCTTTGTCTACTAATTCCAATACCTGTGTTAGTTCTGGGTGATTTTGATTGATTTCTCTTTCTCTTTATTATGGATCATTTTTTACAGCCTATTAATATTTGCCTGTTTGATTTTGTGCTAGATTTTATAAATTTTATTTTTGAATGCTAGGTAGTTTTGATATTCCTGTAAATATCCTTGATGTTTGTTTGTGGATAGTTTAGTTACTTGGATACAATTTTTTTCAGGTCTTTTTGGCTGGTCCAAAAGAGTGCTTGTTCAACTATTGAGCTAGTTCTAGTTATCCCCCATTACTGAGGCAAGACCCTCCTGAGAACTCTACTCAGTGCCCCAGAATTACGAGTTACTCAGTCCTGTGAGTGGAACAGGCCCCATTCCCAGCCCTGGGTGAGGACCAGGCATTCTCCCCTCTCATCCCTCCAGGTCCCTCCCTGCATTGGATAATCCCTCCTTCCATGACACAGAAGGTTCGGCGCAGTGCTATCTATTCAAAGGAATCCCTCTGCAGGTCTTCGGGGTTCCCTCTGTACAGTGTGCTTGCCTCAGGCACTCTTTTCTGCAAATTCTATTCACCTTGATCTCCTCAGTTTCTCAGCTTTATTCCCTCCCCTCAAAAAATCTGCTGCTTCCATTGTGTTGCCCCATCCATATCTGAACCCCTTTAGTGGGCCAGTTATGGGGTTCACCTTGTTCAGGCTCACCATCCACTATGTGGGTGTTTAGTCTCTTGAGAACTGTTGGCTTATACATTCTAGATGAAGTGGTTTGGGTTGTTGCCTTGGGTTGGGTTGGTTTCTTTGATAAGTGAGTGTATTCAGCCCGTGTTACTTCCTATTACTCCATCTTGACCAGAAGCAGTATTGAAAGCAGAAACTTTGGCCAGTTTGGGCTGGTAACATGCCCAAGCACCAAGCTTTTGAAATT